ATTCTATTCTATTCTATTCTATTCTATTCTATTCTATTCTATTCTATTCTATTCTATTCCATTCCATTCCATTCCATTCCTTTGGGGCTTTGCCCTTCTCTCCCATTCTCCCGATTCCTGTGCCACCAATATATCTTTATATCATGGTATATAAAAAATAGCCAGGATAAATGTTACTTTTATTTTGCTTTCTGTAAGAACACACTATCAAAAAATGCTGCCCCTAAGCAGTGTCATCAATTCATTTAGAATATTTACAGCTGATCCTTCGGAAAAGTTAGCTCCCTTTAGATTTTCAGGTGGCCCTCGACTTAAAACTACAACTGAGCCCAAAATGTCTATTGCTAAGCGAGACATTAAGTTAAACTTGCCCCATTTTATGGCCTTTCTTAGCACAATTGTTAAGTAAATCATGGCAGTTGTTAAGTTAGTAACACGGTTGTTAAGGGAATCTGGCTTCCCCATTGACTTTGCTTGTCTAAAGTTTGCAAAAGATGATCACATGACCCCCAGGACACTGCAACCGTCATAAATATGAATCAGTTACCAAGAGTCTAAATTTGATCATGTGACCATGATGATCCTTGCAATGGTTGCAAGTGTAAAAAATGGTCATAAGTCACTGTTTTCAGTGCTGTTATAACTTTGAACCATCACTAAATGAACTGTTGTAAGTCAAGGGCTATCTGTACAGTTCAAAATGGGGTAACCCTACCCTGAGAGGATGGAGAAGGAAAATGGGAAAACTGAGGCACAGATTCTTAACACTTGATGAGATCCTATAATTGCCCACACTATGGCTGCACTGAAAGTTATTACGACAATTAAATTGGGTTGAAATAACTCATAGAATCAATGAATTCTGGTCTCTATAGTTGCCTTTTATGTAGTTTCCTCTTTTCTTTTTTTCACGCAGATGGATAGTCCATTTCGGACTGAAATTATGTAATTTTTGAAACCTAAGTATTATAGGCTTGGAGAGGGGAAGGAGTTATGGACTTTTACCTTTTGATTGGTTATGATAAAATAACAACAGTTCTCACCTAACCTACAGCCTTTTTCATTAGCCTTTTGTTAGACAGTTTACATTCCTTAGACAGAGGGATGCCAGTTTGCATTCTTTAACAATAGAAGTCAGTGCTCTTTGTATTACACAGCCGATTAGACTTAGAGGTTTTTGAAGCAACCCAGTCTGTGTGTATGAATTGGAGACTACAATATCTTTTATGTCATGCATTGGTCAGATTATGCCTTGTGGGAATGGCAGCCATGCCAAACTTGCTGCATACTTTCAAAGAACCATTTGCCATTGCTTTTCCCAGGATGTATCTATCCCCTCCCAATCAAGGGTACATTCTTGATTATTTCTTGATGGTCTCTCCTCCAAATACTAACCACCTCTAACCCTGCTTAGGTATCTTTTCTTTTCAAACTCATCTTAGGTGCTGCCATTTGCACTAGTGAACTGTGATGGACTTCATATTATGATCAATTTTACAGTTTGCAATAGCAATTATTCCCCAAATGACTCAAGAATTCTTATTTGGAGAATGGATGTTAAAGCATGGAGATCTCGTTGTATTCTGCATACAGCTGGGGAAAAAGATTGGGGGGGGGGACGACACAGGGATTCCTAACTCAGCAGTCTTTGAAGCTGTCACACCAGTAGTTTTAGATTAACATAATTGTGATCTATTAGCACCACTTTGTGGATTTAATCTGGAACTGCAGTCTTAATGCAACACTTATTCAAGTTATCCCAAACTTTTAAAAACCATTTTACTTTATTTTAACATCTATATGAATTTGATTCATTACACATTTGTATCCAGTGTGATGCCTTAATCACAGGAGGATCACTAAGAGTGCTCATCAAGTGCTGTGCTCCACCTGATTTAATTTGATTTAAAAATAAAACAAAACGATGATATGGACCCCAGAGCCATTCTTTGGAAATAAAAATCAGGGATGTTGGCAGGGTTTTTTTTTAATTATTTTCTTGGTTTCACAAAGAATTTGGGGAAAGCCGCAATCCCTTTTCTCCTCTCCTTGGTTTCTTTATCTACCTCCAAAACTAGGATGATCCTACTCGGTGAAAAGTCAGTTTGGCGGTAATTGTTAAGGCATGAGGCTAAAAATTTGGGACACTGTGATTTCTAGTCCTGCCTTAGGTGCAAAGTTAGCTGGGTGGCCAATCACTTTCTCTCAGCCCTAAGAAAGAGGCATTTTAGAGGGAAATGTTGGTATCGGGGCTTTGAAAGTAAAAAACTTTCTGAAGAACAAGTTATATATGCACAATAAGACCCATGGGTATTAATGTATAGAACCAGAGACACCAATTTGTTCTTCATAGAAGAGATCTCAGGCTGCTTTCAACTTACAATAGTCATCTGTTGGTGAAAGTAAATTTACCTAGCCTGCATTAGAATTACAGGTATTCCTCAACTTACGACCATGGTTGAGCCCAAAATTTCTGTTGTTAAACAAGACAGTTGTTAAGGGAGCTTTGTCCCATTTATTTATTTATTAGAATAAAATAAAAAGAATAAAAATACAATGACAGGAACGATAGACACGGTAGTGCACTTATGCACGCCCCCTCTACTAACCACTTAAGTACGATGTCAGTTTGTGATGTCAGAAGTCAATTTGTGACTGAAACTGTGAAAATTTGTTGCTGAAACAACTGAATCAGGCAGATCATTGCAGACTTTGACAGCTCTATTCCAGAAATCATATTTTTACAGTCAAGTTTAGAATGATTTACGCTGAGTTTGAAACAGTTGTCAGCACGTGTATTATTGCAATTGAAAGAAAAAAAGTCATTTACAGGTAAAACATTACTACGTATAATTTTGTATGCAATACCTAAGTCTGACCACAACTGATGCAGTTCTAAGTTATCCAAACGGAGAATTTCGAGCTTAGTAGCCTAGGGAATTCTACGGTGTACAGAAATGTGCAAGACTTTTCTCGTGAAATACTTCTGAACCTGCTCAATTGTACTGATGTCAAATATATGGTACGGATTCCAAACAGTTGAACAATACTCTAAGATTGGTCTAGCATAAGTTTTATAAGCTCTAATTAGCAATACAATGTTTCCAGGGGAAAAAAAACTCTGCAAAATCAGATTTACAACTCTTAATGCTTTTTTAGCAATGCTGTTACAGTGAACTTTGGAGCATAAATCATCAGAGATAAGCACACCTAGGTCCTTGACAAAGGGAGGGTCATCAGCTAGTTCAATGCCACCCAGCTTATTATACTTGACATTCTGATTACATTTGCCAATATGTAAGGCAGAGCATTTATTGATCGAAATTTGAAGTTGCCAAATAGATGACCATTCAGACACATAGTCGAGATCACTTTGCAAAACAACAGAATTGTCTGTAGCATTGGATAATCTTATGTCATCGGCAGAAAGGACACAATTGCTTTTAAGTTGATCACACAAATTGAGCAGAGGTCTCCAAACTTGGCAACTTTAAGACTTGTGGACTCCAGCTTCGCTGGCTGAAGAATTCTGGGAGTTGAAGTCCACAAGTCTTCAAGTTGCCAGGTTTGGGGACCCCTGATATAGAGCAAGAAAAACGTGGGACCTAAGATGATGCCTTGCAATACACCACTGTGAACTGATGCAGGATTAGACAGCAAGTTCCCTATTTTGACTTTCTGCAAGACATTTAGGGATTTTTTTTTGCCACCGTTGTTAAATGAACCACTACAGTTGTTAATAAAAGAGTTGTTAAGTGAATCCCCATTTGACTTTGCTTATCAGAAAAAGGGATCACATGACCTGGGCATTGCAACCATTGTACATACATGCCAGTTGCCAAGAATTTGAATTCTGATCAAGTGGTCACAGGAATGCAGCAACTGTAGTGTGAAAAATGGCCCTAAGCCAGGGATGGGCAACTATGGCCCTTTTATGAATTATGGACTTCAACTCCCAGAATTCCTGAGCAAGCCATGCTAGCTCAGGAATTTTGGGAGTTGAAGTCCACAAGTCATAAAGGGGCCATAGTTGCCCACCTCTGCCCTAAGCGCTGTTGTAACTTTGAGCTTGTGGTGATATGCTACCAGTTCGGCCCGGTTCAGCTGAACTGGTAGTAAAAAATGCCTCTGATGATCAGCTGAGAGGAAGAGAAAAGGTCCTCTTGATAGGTGGAGAGAGGAAAGCACAGGATCGGCCCTCCCACGCACCCCTGTGCTTTTCTTTATCCTCTCAGCTGTTTGGTGCTGCAGGCCTCAGCTGGTGCGTGGAAAGCTGCGTACTCATTAGGTGCACGCATGTGATCACCAAACCGGTAATAGAACAGGTAGGATCCCACTGCTCTTTGAGCAGTCACTAAACAAATGGTTGGAAGTCGAGAACTACCTGTATGTTGAAAAAAGTGTGTGCGCTATAATCCCAAAAGGTGGATGAATGTGATGAAGTAACAGCCCACAATACGCTTATCATTTTGTCTTAAAATCTGTTGAAACGACCTACTTCTCTCTTTCTCCCCCTCAGCCCATTTGCCAGGCAGCTTATAATAATGATTTCAATGAACTTCAGCTCCTCTTGGAAGAAGATAGAAATAATCTGAATATCCAGGACTATTTTGGTGGAGACACGCCGTTAATCTGTGCATGCAAAAAAGGGCACAACAGAATCGTCAGTTACCTTCTGAAAATGAATGCTGATGTGAACATAAAAAATAAGGTGAGAGCAGCGATGGCAATAGGGCCTCTTCTTAGGTTGCTAAAACCAGGACTCATGAAGAAAGAGAATAGAGGAAAGATGTGCCAGCTGAGGAATTCTGGAAGTTGAAGTTCACACCTCTTATAATTGGCAGGTTTGAAAAACACTGCTTGAAAAGTTGTGGGGGCATGTAGGTTTACTTTCTGAGTTCTGAAGGGTGAGGCAGGAAATCCAGACATAGAAGCAAATTGAGGAGATGTAACTAATGTTTTTGTAACCTATATCTTTGTTTATAGATAAGATATGAGAAGAAGATATCATTTGTTGTATTTTAAGAGAAGGCTGCTAAAATTCTTTACATGTTGTGAGGAAGGAGAAAGTCATTTCTTTTCTTTTTCTTTCTTATATTCTTTTTCTACTACTACTACTACTACTACTACTACTACTACTACTACTACTACTACTACCACCATGTTTCTCCAACAATACAGCCTCCCCCAATAGGAAGTACCAGCATGCTTTATAGGCATAAAATCAAATTAAGCCCCTCCCCCCAAATTAAGGCCTATATTAAACATGCAAAATGGGGGGGAATGGTGGGGGGGGGGCTTGCCGTTAGGAAGTACTTTTGTTGCATACCCCGATATGGTGCTGCCTGCGTTGACTTTGGCGTTGGTGGGGCACTTCGTATTGGGAGACCTTCCGCCACCGTTGCTTTCCCTTCTCCCCGTGCTGCCGCGGTGTTTAGAGCAATGTGTTTGGCGTAGCCACGTGCGGCCAGCCAGGGCTCCTCACTGCAACCGGAGCCCGGCGGAGACACTCTGCTTCAGGTGCTCCTGTCGCCGCCTTCCCTTCACCTTTGAAAGCAAAGCCAATTCTCTCTCCAGCAGAGAGAGCCTGAAGCCGCCCGTCCTTTCCACCCCTCGCCCAGCCCATCCCCACGCATCTCCAAATGCACCGGCAGCTCCAAACACTGCAGCGGCATGGGCATCGGGCAGAGGCACTCATTTGGTGGGGCTCAGCTGGGAGGACGACGTGGCACAGGCCATCGCCTTGCCTCCCTGTCCACGGATGGGTGGGTGCTATCACTGCCTCAGGCAGCCTCTCCCGGTGGCCCTTTCGGGTTCGGGCTGGAGGGACTTGGAAAGGAAGCCAAGCTCGGGTCGGCCCAGCTCTTTCGCTTGGCAGGTGGGTGCACACCTGCGGCTCGCTTTCCCGGCTCTGCCCAGCCTGCCCAGCTCTGGTGCGGCCCTGGTGGGATGAGTGGAGGGCCCGGCGGGGAGGCACTTGCTGCCTTGGCGAGAGCTCCACCACTGGGCAGGAGGGCCTGCCTGTCAGCTGTGCTAGGCACCCCAGGCGAAGCTCTTCATGCTGTGCCCGGCACCAGGCAGGGATGGCGGCTGGGCGCTTCTCCTGGGGTGGGCTGATCTTGCGCTGCAGCCCCGGGAGATTCGCCTCCCCACATGGGGTTGGGCTACCCTCTTGGGCAGGGGAGGCTTTCTCGTACTGGTAGTAGGGCATCATTTTTAAAAGAATTGGCTTTGCCTTCGAAGGTGAAGGGAAGGTGGCGATAGGAGCGCCTGAAGCCGAGTGTCTCTGCTGGCCTCCGGTTGCAGGGAGGAGCCCTGGCTGGCCGCGTGTGGCTGCGCCAAATGCTGCAGCGTTGCTCTAAATGCTGCGGCAGCACGGGGAGAAGGGAAAGCAATGGTGGCAGATACGGAGTGCCCCACCAACACCGAGGTCAACAACCAAGCTGTCGCCGCCCGCCTGCCCGAGGATGCAAGGGGGGCAATTAAGCCACCCCCGAAAAGACGGACTAGCCGTTTTTTTCGGGGCCAAAAAAAAAAAGAAAAAGAATCGGTCTTATTTTGTGAGAAACACGGTATTATTATTATTATTATTATTATTATTATTATTATTATTATTATTCCCAAAAAATAAGACCCTGTCTTATATATTTTTGCTACCAAAAAAGGCACCAGGTCTTATTTTGGGAGGATGTCATTCACTGACTAACCTCACTTGTGTGCACCGCCCCCCTGCCTCCTTTTTGCTGTCAGGGGCCTTCATGAACTTCTTCTGCAGCCAGCAAGTCTTTCCTGAAGGTCTCTGCAGCCAATAACAGAGCTCTGGATCTAGCTACAGAGGCCTTCAGGAAAGCCTTGCCAGCCTTGCTGGCTGCAGAAGAAATGGGCCAGCAAGGCAGGTGTCAGGGTGTGCGAGGCCTGGCTACAACTGTCCAAAGGTAAGTAGTAGGGCAGCTCCATCCCGCCATCCCCACCCTAGCTTAATTTTTACCTGTGCACTCTGGAGTGGGTGGGATCTTAATCAGGGCTTATTTTGGGGGTAGGGCTTATATTGGGCGCATGTGTAAAAATCAAGCTAGGACTTACTTTCAGGGTAGGCCGTATTTTTAGGGAAACGGTATTATTATTATTGTTGTTGTTGATGGTGGTGATGATGGTTGCACAGTTAGCTAGGTGTTCAGACTGGATATGGCATTTTTATAACATATTGGGTTCTTCCTAGGGATCTAGGATAGGGTGATATTGTTTGATGATGTGAAAGATATTATCGCAGGATTATGAACTGTTCCAATTATAGCTGACTTTTGGTATTGACTGATGGTGATTTTGTCAATGTCAGCAGTGTTCAAGATGTTGCTCAAGCAGAGGTGCTCCAGATGTTTTAGAATTGTGCCTCAGGTGACTATTTGGACTATTTTTGCTTTGTTTGCTACAGTCATTTTATTTCTATTTGCAAATCTTTGTATTTTGTGATTTTTCCCAGTTCTTTCTCTTCTCTCTCTCCAAGTACCACAACATTAACTAACCAGATTTTGTCCTTCTTAGAACAAAGTTGTGAAGTCTTGGATGTTTTGTGGAAGGTGCTTGTATGTTTGAATTTGGGGATAAAATATCATAACCAGTGCTAGTAAATGTTGCACTTCCATGCAGGTTATTTTGATGTCTTGTCTGGAAGCGGCACCTGAAACTATTTATTTTTGTTTTATTTATTTCATTTCTTACATTACCTGTCTTTTGGATATTAATGACTTTGTGCTCCAGATAGAATCCATAGCACCTTATTTGTTGCTGGGGTGTCAAACTCGATTTCATTTCATTCCACATCAGGGTTGTGTTTGACCTCAGGAGAGGCGTGGCCAGGGTGGGTGTGGCCAGCTCAACATCACTCATGTCGGGTACCTGTGGCAGCCAGAGCGCTCTGCCAGTGAAAACAGGTTCCTGAGCTCCATTTTTGGCTGTGATGGCTTCCTGCAACCTTCTGCCAGCGAAAAGTGTGCAGAGTGTGGCAGCGGAGGCAATTTTTGGGACCTCAAGAATGGCCCCTGTAATACCACTCCTCCATGGGCTGCATTTGTTGCCAGTCTGCTTCCGGGTGCAATTCAAGGTGGTGGTGAATGTCTTCAAATGTCTTCATGGCATTGGGCCAGGTTACTTGAGGAACCATCTAATCTCACTGGAATTGGCCCATCTCACTCCTGCTGGCAGAGGAGGCATTCTGTGGGTCCCATCAGCCTGATAGGTTCAGCTGATGGGTCCAGGAGGAGGGCCTTCTCCTGCCCTCTAGAATATCTTGCCCCGTCCCCGATGTGATGTTGGCCCCGACCCCCCCTATTCTTTTGTAAGGACCTAAGGACATGACTCTGCCAGGTGGCTTGAGACCCCAATGGAGAACAGCATAGTGTTTGAATAACAATAGATCCCACCTCCCCTCAATCTACTCCTGCTCTTCCCACATGTCGTTATATTTTAATGTTTGATTTTAATTTACTTATGTTTTAATGTGTGTGTGTGTGTGTGTGTGTATGTGTGTGTGTAGTCAAACAATTATTAGACAACAGGTATAAGTATAAACATGATAATAAACACATGAAATGGATACAAACAAGAAAAAAGAAACAATAGGACAGGGGCAGTAGGCACATTGGTGCGCTTATGCACGCCCCCTACAAACCTCTTAGGAAAGGGGTGAGGTCAACAGTAGACAATCTAAGGTTAAAGTTTTTGGGGTTTGGGGAAGAAACCACAGAGTCAGGTAGAGTATTCCAGACATTGACTACTCTGTTGCTGAAGTCGTATTTCCTGCAATCAAGTTTGGTGCAGTTTATCTTTAGTTTGTATCTATTGTGTGCTCTTGTATTGTTTTGGTTGAAGCTGAAGTATTCATTGACAGGTAGGACATTGCAATATATAATTTGATGTACCATACTTAGACCGAACTGAAGGCGGCGTAGTTCTAGGTTGTATAGGTCTAAATTTTCAAGTCTGGTGGCATAAGGTATTCTGCTACGAGTAGAGGAGTGGAGGACTCTTCTCGTAAAATATTTCTGGACTTTCTCAATTGTATTAATATCAGATATGTAATGCAGGTTCCAGACTGATGAGCTGTATTCAAGTATTGGTCTAGGAAATGTTTTGTATGCTCTAGTTAGTAGTGTGATATTACCGGAGAATTACGCAGGATTAGGTTTACAACTCTTAATGCCTTTTTGCCTATGTAGTTACAGTGGGCTCTAGCACTTAGATCATTTGAGATGAGTACTCCAAGGTCCTTGACAAAGTCTGTGTCATCAACAAGATCTTGACTATTCAGCTTGTATTTTAATTTCTGATTTTTTTTGCCAATATGTAAGACAGAGCATTTATTTGTTGAGATTTGAAGTTGCCATTCTGACACATAGTCGAGGTCTTTTTGAAGGGTAGCAGTATTGTCTGTGGTGTTGAATAGCTTTACAGCGAAAAGAATGCAGTTGCTCTTAATATGATCACATATAATGTACACATTAAATATATATACTTTGATTGTAACCCAGCCAGAGTTACCCAATGGTAAGATAGGTTTATAAATAAATTTGTAGCCTTCAGAACTCCCTTTGGTTATGGAATCAAAATGTTTTAGTAAAATTCCAAGAATTGGCAGGGGGCTTTTGCTTTTAAGAATTATTTAAGGAGTTGTACATTAAGATAGATCACAAAGATAGGAAATGATTAAAAATGTGAAAGAGATGCATTTATAAAGCCCCCATAAAAGTTGAGGTAATATTTGTATGTTGAGAAGTAAATTCCATGGTTGTGGAGTAACCATGGGGAAATCTTGGCTCTGCTGACATGTTGGAGCTAAGCTTTGTAGGATCTGAGTGGCTGGTGCTAATCAGCAAGGAGAAGGCATTTTTTTTCAGCAGTCCTTGATTCAAATCGTTTGAGGCTTTATAGATAAAGAAATCAAAATGGCTGCAACATGGTTTCTATGGAGACCAATCTGCTGCAACACTGTGTACCAGCTGAAATTCCAAAAACATGTAAGGGCAGCCCTATGTAGAACATAGTAGAGAAATAAAACTTGGATGTTATCTGTCAATGTATTACTCAGTGGTGGGATTCAATTTTTTTTTACTATTGGTTCTGTGGACGTGGCTTGGTGGGCATGGTGTGGCTTGGTGGGCATGGCAGGGAAAGGATACTCCAAAATGTAAATTGCAAAAATTAAATTAAATTTTATTTATTTTAAATAATTAAATAGAATTGTTAAATTGTCCTGCAGCCAGTTGGCCCATGGCGAGTTGGCCATGACGAGTTGTCCCGCAGTGAGTTGGCCATAATGAGTTGGCTGCAGTGAGTTGGCTGTGGCAAGTTGACCCACAATGAGTTGGCCATGATGAGTTGGCCATGATTAGTTGGCTGCAGCAAGTTGGCCATGGCGAATTGTCCCACAACAAGTTGGCCATGGTGAGTTGGCCGTAACAAATTGGCTGTAGCAAGTTGTCCCATTCCCACTGCAGGCTGATAACAATTCAGGTAGCTTCTAGTCTTTCCTTACTCCTTGTTATTATTGTCTCAACCAGGTGCTTCTTTTTTTCCTTTTAACTGAGGGTAACTTTTCTGAAACCGAGAATATCCCCAGGGTAATTTCCGCTGTGGGAAAGCACCAAAAACCTTTCCAAACTGACACCAAACAAATTGCAAATAATTTGGGGTAGGTGGAATGAGAAACTGCCTTAAAACTTTTTCCTTTCTCTCTAGAAAGAAAGAACCTGTTTGCACTACGCTGTCAAAAAGCGATTTGGTTTCCTTGATTATTTGCTCATCATACTTTTAATGCCCGTTATGCTATTAGGATATCTTCTAATGGTAAGTTCCAGGTCAGACAAGTATCAAATGATGCCTACAGTTATATCCATATTTATTTATTTATTTATTTATTTATTTATTTATTTATTTATTTATTTATTTAT